AATAATAATAATAATAATAATAATAATAATAAATGAAAACACCAAGCATGCGCCATTTCCAATAGTCTTTCGACCGGCGCGCCGCTAACATCGGGGAGGAAAGCAATTATGGACCAATCCGGCCAACTCAAACGGCGCTGCGGCACCACGTCGGTCAATGGCCAAAAGTAGAACTCACATGTCGCCTCCGCTTGTTTTTGCTTTTCTTTCTGCTCTGATCTTCTCGCCAATGATCACGCTGATCAGTCGTCGGTGTAAGTCTGCCTCCGTCCAGCCGATCTGGCCCGTCCCGCCGCTATCTAGGTCACCGGTGGTCAGTTCCTGCACAAACTGGTCAATCACCGCGAACTGGCCTTCGGTAACGGGCACGCCATGTCGGCCGTCAGACGTCCAAATCCAGTCGCCAATAATTTGGTCGCGTCCGGGCGCCGGATAGTATGTGAATCGTTCTGGAAAGTGCGCAGCCAGTCGGTACAGACGTCGGAGGATAATATAGTGCTCGTCGCTGAAATGCCCAGACACCGCCAGCGGTCGGGCCCGCACCGGGCTCTCCCCTCCCAGAGCGGAAAATGCGCGGTCGGGTTGTTGGGCGGCGCGTGACTCGGGGGAGCTTTGTGGTTCTTCATACTGCCTCCACTCGGTGAATCGTCGAGAACTTCTGAACCTCCGCTCCATTTCATCTTGTTCCTCCACGTCTGCCCCGTCGGATCCATGGGAATGCGCGTTCACATCCTCCGCGGAGCCATCGTCGCTCACCGGGTCATCATCTGAGTCCTCATATTCTTCACTCACGCGACTTGGTCGCGAAGGAGACCTTCTTATTGGTGCTTTCAGCCAGCCGGGGGTCAATGAGGCCAGTCTTTGGAACCAGGTCGATCCCTGAACATCAGGATTTGCGGGATTGGCGGGTCGCGGAGGTTGTGGAGTCATTTCCACATTTCCGTCAATAGAGCGTTCTTCGGCTACGGCGGCATCTGAATATTCAAAGTCTTCCTCCTCTTGGTCCCGCCGCCTATCAAATTCCATCCTCTCATACTCAATTCTGGTGGTCGGATCAATCTGGAACGCATCGTCGTCCGAGTGCTTGAGAGGGCTCGACACCAGTCCCAATTCCGATAGCGGCGGCTCTTGACCATGCACCCCATTCTCGGCGTATCGCGGGGAAGACTGGGGTGCCGCCCGCTGCGAAGGCCGTGCACTGGCGGCGCTCAGGGGGCTGCTTTTCCCGTAATAGTAGCGAGAATGATTCGGAGTGTTGGATGCACCAAGCAACATCGACATGTCAACCTCTTGTTCGCGTAATTGTCGCACTCGCGATTGGCCTCCCAGGTAGGGTACCTTTTCCCGCTGGTGAGTCCAAGGAACCGGGGAAAATGCGCCGTATTCACTTGGGGCAGCTGATCGATCATCCTTCCATGGGCTAGACTCCTGTCTGTAGCCAGCATCGTCTTCATCGCGACGTGTGGAGGATTGATGCATGGAACCTTGATGCGTGGAAGATTGATGCGATATTTGGCTATGCTCCTGTGCTTCTTGCTGCCAGATGTCCGAGTATCCGTCGTCGTCTTCTTCCTCTGGCAGATATTGTTCTTCCTCCTCTTCCGGTTGTTGCATATGTAGCTGCGGGTGTCGTTCCTCCTCTTCGTATTCCTCTTGTTCCTCTGCCTCTTCATCCTCCTGTTCCTCCCCTACCTCGTCTGCCTCGTATGCCTCGTCTGGATAGCCTGCATCATCCTCCGGCAGATTGCTTTCTGAAGCTGGCTCCAACTCTGGCCCTTGGTCGAAATCTGACCCCGAATCCGAGTCTGGTCCCCCGATGTCAAATGCGGGATAGGCCCTACCACGCTCAGGACTCTGATGTGCCTCATCATCGCTATTAATAACAATGACCTTGCTCGAATTGGCTTTGTCAATCTCGCGACTGATGGACTCTCTCTCTTGCTGCCATTCAGCCATTCGTCGTTTCATCGCAGTTTCTGGCCCTGGTGTATCCTGAACCGATCTTCGATCTTGTTGGCGCGGGGTTTCTGAGGTATCTTCCTCTTCCTCTTCTGATCCCTCGTCCTCATATTGGTCGTGGGTATCTTGCGCGGCGGCATTTCTAGCAGCTTCTTCTTGTTCGGCCCTTTCATTTTCCATCTCTGCTTGTATTTTCCTCTTGGCAATTTCCTGGCCAAGGCCTAGACCAACTCGTAGTTGTTGTTGGGTATCGTAGTCAAGATCACTAAACACGCTCTCCAGGCGCTGTTTGGGTTCCTCAATAGCAATTTTGCTATCTGGTCGTTTCTCTACCTCTGGATTCTGTCTGAAGGCACCCTCAAGTGCCATACCAGCACGGACAATCCTAGCCAGCCGGGCGATCGGTCTAGGCCGGTTATCAGCTGGAGTAGGCGCAGGGGGTTCGGCCGGAGGAGACGGTGGTGCATGTTGTTCAGAAGCCTCATCGTGTGTCGCAGGCTGCTTTAATCTTCGTCGATGAGCAGGTGAACGGGACTGTCGTTTTGGTGGAGAACGAGATTGGCGTTTTCGCGGGGGTTCTAAATTCGGCGATGCATTCGCGCGTGCATTCTCGTTGTAATCGCTACTCATAGAGGAAGCTTTGCGCTTTGTTTTCTCTCTTTTGCCGATTGATTCACGCTGAAGAAAAGGTCTGAGAGGTCCTTTGGCACGGTCTGAATTTGTGCTGATTCCATGCTGCTTGGCTGATGGCAGAGTATCCAATGAGACCATGCTGAACCCTTCACTCTCCACAATCGAATTGTATTCCCGGTGTTCGTCCGTAGAATCACGATGTTCGTGTGTTGGGTCATCATAATCATCCGTTGCATTATCCGTGGCCTCGCCTTGGGTATCATGAAGTTCGCTACTTGGTACCTCTTCGTCCAGATTGTCTTGTTCATGATTCTCTTCATCGACCAGCGATGAAGATGTAGGCGTAGGATAAAGGCGTGGTGGTCGAGGTGTACGGCCGGCATTCAATGCGTTTGCTGGGGATGAAGTAAGTGGTTCTTGAATTGATTCTTGGCGAACAGAAGACGGCATCTTAGACGGCGTCGAGTGTAGCTTCCCGTCATCGTCATCGCGGTCTATGGCACCGACATCCGGCGTCTCATACGCAGGTTCTGCAAAAGCCACTCGAGGGGAACTCCGATTCCAATCCGTCGGGTCCGGTCGCATCGTCTCGTCTTCTTCATGGGCGGAGAATGGAGCATCCGGTAGCTCATCGTCTTCCGAATCGCCATCCGCGCCGAGATTCAAAGGACTGTATCGTTCTTGGTCGAGTTCAGAATCTGGATTTGGTTGCTCTTCCACCCCTGGATTTAGCGGACTGTATCGGTTTCGTCCAGAGTCGGGAAACGGGGTTGATTGCTCAAAATTCAATGGGCTAGATCGTTGCTCAAATTCGGGCCCTGGAGTTGGCTGGTCCTCCGACTCGAGGTTAAATGGATCGTATCGCTGTTGATCGGGTACGGAAGCCGGAGTCGGTTGCTCCTCTTCATCGAGGTTCAAATGACTAGATCGCTGTCGTCCAGGTACGGGCACCGGAGTTGGTTGCTCAAGGTTTAACGGACTAGATTGTTCGGGGTCGGGAACCGGCGTTGGTTGCTCTTCCACCTGCCGCTCAACCGGCACGGGCGTACCTTTGCGCGGTCGCCCTCGTGGTCTGCTTTGTCCATTGGCGCCCTTGGCACCTGGTGTATGTCCGGGACTTGCTGGGGTCGATGTCGCATCGGGTAATGCTTGAATCTCCGTCTTCCTCGGTCGGCCTCTGCGTCGTCGGGGGGTTGGCTCGGGTTGGTCGCGTTCATCCTTCAGGGGCACTTTGGTCGTCATAGTCGTCGAGGGATATAATGCCCTGCGCGTAGGGCTTTTTTGGTTATTCGCCTCATCCTCTTCATCTTGCGTCGCCTCCAGGGTCACTCGAATCCTCCATGGATTGCCGCTCTCACCCTGGCCTTTTTCCGGGGACAAGGACATGGGCGCTCCCCCAGCCAATTTCGCAAGCGCGGGAGTAGCTGGTAGCAAGACATCGTCGAACCGGATGGAATGCGCACTTTTCGACGGGCTGAGACTCGGGCGCTGACGCTTGCCCTTAACAGAGCCTGGCGTCTGCAGGAACTTGAAATTGGGGGCCGGAGACATAGACATGAAGGGTTGCCGACCGCCGAGAGGTTTCGTGGGGGAGGAGAGTAGGTATTCGGAGTCGCCAGCAGGTCCAAGAATGTCCGAAGAAGAGCTAGAACTGCGAGAGGACATGTCGAAATGCGAAGAATCCAAGGCGGGTCATCGGCGACTGCGGTCGCGTCCAGATACGATGGGTGGTATCGGTAATCAAAAGTAGTGGCCAAAATAGTTCATTCTCGAGGCACCAAAGCCCATCCAAAGCAGGTCATATCGATCCGTCAACAACGTCAACAACGGTCACAATCACCAAAACACGTCTCCCGATCGGGCAGTCAAAGAGGGGACGCGTTGGTTATGTAAGCGGGAGAAACACTTGATCCGCTGTACGGTAGGCGCAGTGGCCACGAGTGCAGTTCTATGCACCTCAGTCAGTCAAGAAACACAGCGCTTGTGTGCGTAAAGTAGATTCAATAAATGTTGCATTGACAAATTCTTTAGTTGCTGAGGAAGAGTGCTACCTGTGCTGTGTTGAGAGAAAGAAAGAACAACCAAGCACGAAGATCGACGTCCCCCGCAATTTCCGCATCTGGCTAGCGTCCGCATTCGTATTACTGCCTGAGATCTTAGGCGTAAGCACGGCATGTCTCCCCGGAAATCACCAACCATCGGGAGCAGCAGCTCTGGACTGCGAACATCTATACAAAACGGGGAAAAACGAATTGAATCAAGCAATCTTAAAAGCATCTTACCGCATCCAGGCACTCTCCCCGCGTCTTTCCTGCATCGACAAAATTCCCCTGTCAGCTTCGGGAAATAACCAACCAACCAACCACTCCTTCCTATAGAAGCTTTCTTTATCCCTCGGCCTGCCCCCGCGTTTGGTCAGCATGCAGTGACATTCCCCGGATCACGCTATACGAGAGAATATATATTATGCTCTTGGACCCCCCTCCTTCTGCCCACTCGCGCATTCACCGGCTGCTCGCTTTACTCTGTCCTGCGCGATTCTCGCCCCGTGTTCTATTCTTATACTGCTTAATCTTCTTCACGGTCACTGTGCTTCTTGGTATCAGAATGCATGTCGGGTCCTATCTTTCCACCGTCCTTTACGGACTGCCCGTGTTGGCCCAAGCACAGAGCTCTGTGACTCTGTCTGCTGCGCCGTCGTCGAAAACTGCTGAGCCTGAACCTGCTGTTGATCCCTTCAAGGCCTACACGATCAAAGCGGAGAACATCACTGCTACTTTGATTCCCTATGGTGCGCGATTGACGTCTGTCCTCGTGCCCGATCGCGACGGCAACCAGCAGGATATCGTGCTGGGCTACGATGACCCCAGGGACTACTTGAAGGATACCGAAACGAACCATACTTACTTCGGTGCCGTGGTGGGCCGGTATGCCAACCGGATCAAGAACGGATCGTTTGTCCTGAACGGGGAGAAATACGAGATTCCGAGCAATGAGAACGAAGGTCTCAACACTCTCCACGGAGGTTATGTGGGCTACGACCAGCGCAATTGGACTGTCACTACGTACTCGGAGTCCACCGTCACCTTTACCTTGCTAGACCGGGGATTCGAAGACTTTCCGGGTGACATTGTCACCCATGCTACCTTCACCGTGGACAACAACCGCACGCCAGACAACCCCGACGGTCTGCCGCTGTTGACAACCAAGTTGGTCTCGCTCGCATTGACCGAAAAGACCCCGATCATGCTGTCCAACCACATCTACTGGAACCTGAACGCATTCAAAGAAGAGAACATCCTAGACGACACCTTCCTGCAATTACCCTTGTCCAGACGCTTCGTCGGCACAGACGGCCTCCTAATCCCGAACGGCACCATCCTCGACGTTCACAGCGCCTACAACGGCAGCGCCGATTTTACCACCGGTAAACTTGTGGGTGAAGCCATCGAAGACGCTGAAGGTCTCTGCGGAACAGACTGCACAGGGTACGACAACTGCTTCGTCATCGACCGTCCGCCTCAATCCGCCGCACAGGATTCGCTTATCTCCATCCTCCACGCAAACTCCAGCACTACGGGTATCTCTCTCGAAGTCAAGAGCAACCAGCAAGCCATCCAGATCTACACGTGTCCTGGCCAGGATGGGTCTATCCCGATTAAGCCGTCGCAGGAGAAGCGGAACGAAGGGCAGGGTGCTAGCAGTGTCAATGCGTATGGGTGTTTGGTTATTGAGCCTGAGGGTTGGATTGATGGAATCAATCACCCTGAATGGGGACAGTTGCCGTACCAGGTTTATGCACCAGATACAGCTCCGGCGATTAACTGGGCTACGTATAAGTTTGGGACGATTGCTTAATCCTGATATTTACATACTACCATGGTATTAATGACTAGACTAATTGAGCTGAATGCATGACGGTATCGTTGAATGTGCGAATTCTAAACCTATCACTCGGGTATCTAATATCAAACTTGCAACAAACGCTAAACTACTATAAAACAATCATCCCCACCCCGCCAACGTCCAACTCGACCTATCCCCCCCAGTCCTCAACCCCGACCTCCTGTCCGGCACATACCCATGCTCCAAATCCCGACTCGCCCCCGCAAGCCCATGCTGCAAATATTTCTCGCGCTCAATCTCCACCATCCCCCTAATCTTCAAACTCGTAACAAGACTCGTACCAGCCCACGGCCCCAAAGACTCAACTTCCCGCAGAACACCCTGGACAGGCGGCTTGAAGTCCCGATCTCTATTGCGCTGGAGTTTCTGCTCGACGAAGTCGATCTCGTTGTCTCCTTCGTCGTCGATCGAGGGTGTATGGGATGCAGTGGCGGTGGGTTCTTGGGTTGGTGTTGTGGTTCCTGTTGATGGGGTCGTTGATGATGGGTTTGGATTCGGGTTTGGATTCGGGTTTGGATTCGGGTTTGGCGTTAAGGATAAGTTCTGGAGGCGGGTTCGTTGGCGCTCGACGGCTTTCCCGCGGACTTGTGTCCAGCCGTGGGTTTTTATCAGCGCATTTACTTCGTTGAGGATGCGTTGGCGGATTCCTGGGATGTGGGAACCTCCTCCGACGAATATGATACGGGACATGCATATCCCGCGTGCGTCGGGGGGTAGGGCGAGGAGGGTGTTGTAGAGGAGTAAGGGGAGGGGTTTTTCCTCGTCGTCGAGGTCGGATTCCGGGATGCCGTGGGCGAAGAGGGCTTTTTCGACTGGTTCGGCAAATTTGGGGAAGGGGACGTCGATGTATTCGGAACCCGGGTTTGAGGGGGAGGGTATGGAGATGGTTGTGTTTGGGAGATCGGTTGGTTCGGTTTCTGTGTGGGTTTTGCACCATGCGAAGCGGGTGACTACTTCTTCGCAGTATTCGAAGTTCACGGAGAGTTCGTCTGTTGTTGGGTCTCGGGTGCTGGTGCTGGTTGAGGTGAGGTGGGTGAGGAATCGGCCTGTCTCTTGGAGTAGGTGTTTCATTGCCCTGGTGCTGCGTTTGTGTGCGACTTCTCTGTATTCGTAGACGCCGGTCACTGTGGTCTCAGCCCAGCCTAGATCCACTACCATTGCTGAGCGTACTCCGGCAGCTGTCGCGGACATGGCTGCGGATGGTAGGAGCGTGATACTTGGAAACCGCCAGCGGTTGAACAAGGTCGACAGAACAGACGCCAGTAACGGATGAGGCATAAGAGATGGCATAACAAGAACCAGCCGTGTTGTCCCCGCGTCCGTCAACAGGTACTTATTGTACGTCTCGCGAACCACTCGCTCAATCTTATCCTCGACAAGGCCCAAATCGACCTTTCGCAGATCCATCCCCCACAGCTCATATGGATTCGCCCACTCCTCTGGACTAACAGACAGTTCGGTAGACGGGCCGTAATTCAACCATCCCCGATAATCGCCCGTCCTCCTCGATTCCTCCGGCCCAAACCCAACAGTACACATGGGCGTGCTCTCGCCCTCAAAGCCTGCTCGGAGCCATCTCGAGCCCAATTCGAATATAATAGCATCTTCCTCGCTACGAAACGAGGAGCCGGATGAGGTACTTGCGAAAGAGGAGTTGTTTGAGCGGAGTTGGTGTTGGGGGGTTTGGGGGGAAGACGGTCTGGCGGTTTGACTGTGGCGTAGGTTTGATGGGAGATTTGAGCCGGAGAAGCGTTTGCTGTCGCCAGCGGATATAGATGAGGCGCTTGCCATGCTCGTCGTTTTGGTATAGAAGCCGGTCGAGCTGTCGGTGCTGTTTACTTCGGCGCGGGGAGCGGAGAATCGATCAATTCATGCTTTGCGCGTCTGCAGGGTGATTTTCGAGTAAACAATGCCCTGCTGTTCAAGCTATCCACTTGAAGATTTTCAATTGAGAGTTCAGATTCGAGAAATTCGCAATGAAGCTTGAATTGTGAAAGTGCCAGACTACATATCCATGCGGCTTAAGGCCGGATCTACGTCGGGCCGGTGCTATTGCTTTTCCGCGACGTCAATAACGACGAAGAGCTAAACCGCTATCAACTTGGCTTATTATAGCGTGGGCTTGTTATTGGGGTGTTTTTGGAAGAATTGGATGTGATCGGCTTATGTCAGTTTAGTTTTGCCCCATGGGGATCCCCGGGTGAGTACAAGAACAGCTATGCCAGATATATATATCTCTGTTTGTTTACAACGCGCTGGCTAGACAACCAATAACTAACTTAACAGACTCATCAATGCCATCGGCCCTGGAGAACGGATATCACTATCCAAACTGGCCATAACGCATCTGGAACAAACAGCAAGGCCCATCCGTATCGCGGTTGATATCTCAATATGGCTGTTCCAGGTGCAGGCAGGGCGAGGCGGAAGGAACCCCGAAATCCGGACACTGTTCTACCGACTTTTGAAATTTTTGGCATTACCCATTCACCCTCTCTTTGTCTATGATGGGAAAAATAAACCGCCGTTTAAACGAGGGAAAGCGGTTTCTGGACAGGGAAATGCGCCTATTATCCAGATATCAAAGCGCTTGATCGATCTATTTCGGTTTCCTAGACATGATGCCCCGGGAGAGGCAGAGGCGGAATGTGCGAATCTGCAGAGAGCGGGTATTGTCGATGCTGTGATGAGCAATGATGTTGATGCTATGATGTTTGGGTCGAAGATGACTATCATGAATTTCTCCAAGGAGAGTGGTAGTACCACTTCTGCATCGCATGTTACTTGCTATCGGATGGGCAATCAAGCAGATACGCCTAATGTTGATCTCGACCGTCCCGGTATGGTTCTTTTCGCGATGCTCAGTGGAGGTGACTACCTGCCCTCTGGTGTCCCGAAGTGCGGTAGCAAATTGGCAACGGAGATCTCAAAGGCCGGTTTTGGATCGGATCTCTTGGACGCAATCAACGCCAAAGGCACGCAGCGAACGGAGCAGTTGAGCGAATGGAGAGAGCGGCTCCAGTATGAATTGGAAGAGAACGAAAGTGGCTACTTCAATACCAAGCACAAGGCTGTCCGGATTCCACAAAGTTTTCCAGATCAGACGATTTTGGAGTACTATGCGTCGCCTGCTGAATCAAATACCGAAGAACTTGAAATTTTGCAACGCCGCTTAATGAACGATTGGGACCAGGACATTGATCCTTTGGAGATCAGGAATTTTGCCGCAAGACTTTTTGATTGGAATTACCGCTCTGGAGCGCGGAAAGTTGTACGACTGCTTGCAGAGCCTTTGGTTTCTTACAAGATCCGTCTCAGAAGACAACTTAACGGTCCGTCATTGTCGAACAGCGATATTCCTATGCTGCGGAAAGTCTACAAAAGTCGCACAAATTACAGTACAGATGGTCTGACGGAGTTGCAAGTCGACGTCATTCCAATAAACATTGTTGGTCTGGACCTTTTCGCAGAGGAACCCAGCCCCCCGCTTCCATCACAGGGATCACAGGAAGCGGCAGCATCCGGCGACGAAGTGGACGATGACCTCGAAGCTCCTGTTGAGCCTGTCACTCAATCCCCTGTCAAGAAACGAGTGACTAAGCGATACGACCCCTACGCACCAGAGAAGATGTGGGTATTTGAAGCCTTGGCTAGAATCGGCATCCCAGACGTCGTCGAACAGTGGGAAAAAGAACGAGCCGCGAAGTTAGCGCCAAAGAAGCCAAGTACTCGAAAGACAGGCCCTAAGAATAAGGGACCGCTAGACCCAGGGATGAAACGCGGAAGTATCTTGAAATACGGTACACTCACGAAACCACGCCCCGAGGTCTCTCAGTTCAAACAAGCGCAGCTATTCGAAGCAGCACTCCCCAGTACACCGAACTCAAGCCAACTGTCGGGGATAGGATCACAAAACCGCACAGGTACAGCATCTCCAAAGTCCCACATGCCAGGTCCTGGGACATCCTGGGCAGACAGTCTGGACAACCTCGTTGACATCTTCTCTCCCTCATACACAATGCCTCCCGAATTAAATGCAAAAGGCCGTAGCCGCGGCAGACCCCGTCTCGAATCCCGGCGCGCAGCGATCTGCTCAGACGGTGTCGAAGTAGTGGACTTGGAGGCATCAGGTGATGAGTTCACCCTGAACGTTCCCTCTCCACCTCCGACCCGTCCACGGAAGCTTAAAATCAGTGTCGACTATCCGGCCTTTCCAGAGGTAGAGAAGAAACCCAAATCCAAACCGAAGACGAAGACGAAGGCGAAGACGAAGACGAAGACCCCTACACCATCACCCTCACCCTCATCCTCACCCTCCCCTACCAAGAAGAGCAACAGACGCGCCCAGAAAGACATTCAGGGCGATCCGGAGGATCGGAAAACCGCCAAGAAACTGGGCGAATCTTTGTCCAAGCCATCATCGAAACATAACCCTGTTTCTGGTGGACAGCCTGGATCCCGTGGTTGCATCGAATCAGCACCCCCAAAGCGCCGGTCGCCGAGGAAGAAGACACCAACACCAAGTACCAATGAACCCACCATAGAGCACAAGACAAACAATATACCCTCATCAGTCATGGAATATCTTCCGCAAGAAACACCAATTAAGAAAGCAGAGAAGAAAAACCAGGAACTAAAGCAACGCGCGAAAAAGAATAAAGAGCCATCACGTTCTGAATCTCTCGAAGCCAACGGCTCTCAAGAACAGACCAAACCGTCCGAAGATCTGCCAATTCCCAAGAAGAGAACATCGCAGCATGTCGAAGCCGTAATAACGCACGACGGTTCCTGGGCTATGGAGCCTGCTTCTGAGTCTGAGAATCATGGCAGTGCAAAGGATGGGGATGACTCGGGGAGTCAGCGCAAGGAGACGAAGGCAAATAAGAAGCGTATTCCGCGTGTTAGCATCTTGGACCTGGTTGATTGAGCTGGGCTTGGTCTACTATTCTATTATTACTGTTGCATCGTTTTGGTACGGGTTTAGGCGTTGGGGACTAGAATACAGGTTACTTCAGAGTAGAGGACTCAGTATGAATATAATTACCTCCAAGAAACACATCCTGCTATTCCATAATTTGTAATCTGTATTCTCAAATATCTAGCTAAATATATATAAATGCAAAACGCACGCTCGTGCAATCGGATATCAATAAGAAGTGAAGTCGAAGTCGGTTGTCAAAAAGACAACCTGGTAGAAAAAGAACACCATCCACCAACAAAAGCAACAACCCCTGATAAAGACAAATAAAATAATACACTAACCGTCAAAAGAAGGCTATGGAAACAGTTATTCAATGCGTATGCTTGCTTCGCTTGATTCAAAAGCGGGAGAAGGAGGGTAGTATCGTGCGTGCGATAGGATAAGGGATCACTGTTGAAAATCCCATCAATGACAAAAGAAAGCCCTATGATATGATGAAGTAAAGAGCGTTGGTAGATCTTTTTCTTTTTTCTTTAAGAAAATGACTGGTCTACCCGAAAACCTTCAAGAAGCCCCAGAGACCGAATCCACTCAGCACGGGGATCGTGATGTTGTCGTCCCAGCCGAAGATATCCACGAATTCGCTACCGGCAGCTACAATACCGGAAACAAAGCTCATAGCTCCGAGTGCCAGGGGACCGGTGATGACAGCCTTCGACGACTCGGTAGTCCAGCCAAGGAGGTTCCTAACACAATTCGGGACAAGGTTCAGACTGCCAGTGAACATGGCGGAGCCTTCGGGGTCATTGGGGAAAGTTCCGATATACGGGACAAACCAGCCCCAGAAGGCGGCGGCAGCGGCAACACCCACGAACCAAGCGGCCAGGCTTCCGGCGAAGCTCTTTCCTTTACGGAGTTGGAAGGTGTACCGGCCGTACAGGCGGCCAAAGGTGGAGGCGGCGGTGTCGCACCAGCTGAGAAGGAGGATGCTCATGACACCAACGTCCTTGGGAAGGAAGCGCAGGACTGTGTATGCGCCCAGCAAGTACCAAATCACACCGTTGTAGCCCGACACCTCTGTCTCGCGCATTAGTGCGCCCACGCAACGGATGTAGAATTTGTTGACGGTTTCTGAGCGATGTCGAATCAAGTCGGTGGCGGCAATGGGCACGAGAGCCGAGAACAGCCATGGTGTGATCTGTAATGATTGTACGCCCCGGCTATACAGTTGAAGAGTAATGAATCCAATGGACACGTGCAGAAGCTTGCGCGGAATCTCATGGCGATGGATGAAGTTGCGATAACGAGAGTGTAGAGGGATAATTCCTAGAGGCGAAGGCGATCGAGAAGAAACGTCGTGCAAGCCTTGTTGGACTTTGGAGAGCGGCGACAGGTAGTCATTGGTCTTGCCGTTAGCCTCAACCTCCCCCTTCTTCGCAGGTGTTATCGGAGTTGGTTTCCGCTGTCGCGCTGTGCCATTAGGCGGTGTTGAATTACGGGACCTTGTTCGCGTGCGCTTCGAAGTCGAATCGTTCTCGTCTGCTTTCTTTTCGGGTACGCCGGTCTGCCGCTGCCTTCGCGCAGCAGAACGAGTCGTAGGTCCGAAATAATCCTCCCGCGAACGCGATCCTTCCGGTGAAGTTGGGGTAGGAGAAATGACCCGAGGCGTCTCGGGAACGGCGTCTTGAGATCGAGGCATAGTGACCGGCTTGATGCCCAAGGGCGGGACGGCAGGTCTTCGAATCAACCCGGACAAAGGTCGGCGAAACGGCGACAGATAATCGCAGGCAAAAATGCCGGGGCTAGCAAAGCCCTCGGATGAAGCAATGATGGGCAACTAGGTAGTTGTTTTTCGGGGAGTAAAGGAGGGAGATCGATTCAGCTGACTGGAGGAAAACCGCGGCGCATCATGTGCTCTCAGGCACCAGTCAGCATGGTCTTTGAACAGGGCTCGGTGGGTAGGAAATTTAGCGCAAGGCTGGTTCAGACAAAGCAGACAATATTGCTTTTTCTCCAGTCAGTTCGCAAGCCGGCGCGTCCGGAGAGTGTCTCTTTCAGGCAAAAACGAGGTCGAGGAAATTGAGTAACTGATCACGTGTGCAACTCACCGCCCGCAATAATCTAATCGGCGATCTTTTGATAAGGCCTTTTTTTTTTTTTTTTTTTTTTTTTTTTTTTTTTCTTCTTTTTTTATGCGCCGAGCTCGACATCAATAATTCTTTATATATTGACTTGTGAAAGGACCATTCCTTTCTGGCTACTACGATGGCCCCCAAACCT